TAGATAGATAGATAGATAGATAGATAGATAGATAGATAGATCATTATTATTATTATTATGATTATGAAGTTGGTAATAAAATGTCCATCACCACATTTAAATGGTATAACTTCACTTGATATTAACAATCTAAACTATTTTAATTTACTAATTTGCTCGAGTTAAAATCAAAGGACATAATAAAAAGACAACAGATAATAAAAACAGCCCTGTAGGGGGCGATAGAAACACTAGTTGTTACTGTAGAAGAAGAAGAGACGTCTGTTACTTTGGTCCCGACAGTACTAAATAATCTGTGAAACAATCATAAATATGAAACAATAAACTTTGTGAATTAGTTTGTCGAACAACGCGACTCAAATGGCTGTGTTACTTCCACACCGGCTCTCCTTGATCTGAACGCTGTTATTAGAGTATATTATTATTACTCTCATATGCAGATACAGACAGTGGAACTTTCTGTTCATTAATATAAAACTGTAGTCAGTGTTTAACACAGGTATTACAGAAAGCATGTCTTATACATAGTTTAATTATCAATCTAATCAATATGTAAAACAACTACAGCTGTAATAATACAGTAAAGTGGAAGCTATTAGTCAAATACTTCAAAAATACAAAGTAGAGTGAATGTGCTGAACTGAATTTTAATGTGACCAATCAGAGATCAGTTTACTTTAATTCTGCACATTCATCAATAAACTCAACAATAACACACACAGGGATTACTCCACCTGTGAGGACGCTGCTGATTCACAGCCACTGACTGCAAAATAAACCCTCAAATTATTATTAACTTGTGAGGACGACTGAGACTGTAGAAACCCCTCAAATACACACACACACACACACACACACACACACACAGTGTTATCTCTGAAACCAGACAACATTCACTTTTCTATCATTTCAAACTTCATCCTGCTTTTCCTGTTAAACACAAAGAGGCAGTCAGGTGACTCTCATCTGTCAACTGCCGGCAGGTAACTCTCTTCAGTTCAGTGTGCAGTCAATCCAACGGGCAGCTTCCAATAAAATTTGACTGAACGGACTGAACAAACCTGCCTGACTGCGCTGATTCTGATCACACAGACACACCTGAGCAGGTGAGGGGCGCGGAGCTCTATTGTTCCTTTGTTTGTTGTTACTGAAGCCTGAGATGCTTTATCTGACACACCCATCCAGGTAACCACACCTGTGTGCCTGTGTGTGTGCTCAGGTCACAGCTGTGGGACAGAAAGTGGGACGTCCTCCTCAGGTGAGGGGTTTATGTTTCCACTGTGCTGCCGTCAGGGTCTGAAAATCCAGGACTCTCAGCAGAGTTCTCACAGAGCTCTTACCTGTCCAGGTGATGGTTCTTTAACAGGTTCCAAAGAAGGTTCCACTTTCCGCAAGTGATTGAAAAGGTTCCATGAAATTCTTCAGGAGATTTCATGGTTCTTTATGTTCTTGGTTTTCCATGAGTGCAAGAGATTGTTCGAGTACAGTTGTGTTTAAGGTTCCAGGGTACCTAAGAGGAGGTGATTTGATGACTGGTGCTTGATGTGGCTTAGTGTTTCTTGAGAAGAATCTGGAGTTCTTTGAGAGGTTCCAGGAGTGCTTGAAGATGGTCCAAGGTTTTTGAGGGGCTTGCGGTTGCTTTAGGAGGTTAAAGGGAGTTGATAGGAAGTTTTGGACGGACTGACCAGGTTCCAGTAGTGCTTAAAGAGACTGAGGAGGGTATTGAGGATGTTCTACAAGGTATTATGGAGGTTCCAGGGTTCTTAAGAGAAGGTCAAGGGTGCTTAAGGAGGTTCCAGGGGTTCTTCAGGAGTTATTCATTGAGGTTCCAAGAGAACTGGAAGAGTTTCTGAGGGAGTTTACGGATCCAGGTCATCAGGCATTTAGATTCCAGGTTTCAGGATGTAGTTCCAGGAGGTGTTTCCAGGAGGTGTTTCCAGGAGGTGGTTCCAGGAGGTGGATCCAGGAGGTGGATCAAGGAGGTGGATCCAGGAGGTGGATCCAGGAGCTGGATCCAGGAGGTGGTTCCAGGAGGTGGATCCAGGAGGTGGATCCAGGAGGTGGTTCCAGGAGGTGGATCCAGGAGGTGGATCCAGGAGGTGGTTCCAGGAGGTGGATCCAGGAGGTGTTTCCAGGAGGTGGATCCAGGAGGTGGATCCAGGAGGTGTTTCCAGGAGGTGGATCCAGGAGGTGATTACTCAGAACCTTAGTTCCTAAAATCATCATCTTTTTGCTTTTTGTCGACATCAAGGACGCAGCCGTCTTGTTTGAAACATTACTGAACAAACTGATGAGATTCAGTGTCATTGATCAGTTTGAGCATTGTGAACGATCAGCTGATACATTGAGCTTGGACTCAAGTTAATGTGACTGATTAATCAATCTGATCAATCAATCTAATGTAATCTCTAACACATTTAGACCAGTGTTTTTTATCAACATGTCACCTGTCTTCCATACTAACGCTGCGTCCAATCAAACGCCGGAGTGTTTCTGAGGGCCGATGTGTTACAGACATCTATTGATTACTGATTACTGGACAAAGACCTGCCTTATAGCTACACTAGCTAGCTATCCCTCTGTGTCCTCCGGCTGTTCAGTTTCAACTCTCTGAGATTTACAGAGTTTCCTGATGGACAGATAGCTTTAGCTAAATCAGCTAACTGCTAATTAACTGCTGGTAACTCTATCTGCTGTTAGTGGACGACAGAACCGGGCTCAGCAGCCGGACCGGGTTCGAACACAGCCTCCGAGACCGACAGGGAATAATGTTACAGTACCGAGGTCATTTACAGAGTTTCTGATGGACAGACTGATCAGTAGCTAACCGCTAACTGCTGTTAGGTAGACACTGATGCTAGCTCATATTGCTACCTGCTATTGGCTGCTGCTCATTCCCCCCCACTGACTGTTGCAATGAGACCTTAAAGAGGAAGTTTAAGATCCAATGATAAAAACTGAACCAGGACCCACAGCAGACAGGAAGTCAGCCGACATCACTTCCCGCTGACCAGAAACTCTGAAACATCGAACAGTGAACGCATCACAGTAGCGACCCCTTCACTGACCGTCTGGAAGAACAAACGTCAGCATCCAAAAACTCAAATTACACTGAACTTCCTCTTTGTGGTTTAACAGGAAACACACACACAAACACACACTCGGCTGGTCGTCAGTCTTTAAATATTAAACGTACCTGTCCTCTGCGTCCTCCGTGTGGCCGGCGGGGGAGCTCATGATGTCACAGTGATGTCACAGCGTGTTCTGACCAGCATGTGTGAGCGTCTGGACGTCTGTGAGCGTCGTCTTCCTCCTCTCTCTCTCTCTCTCTCTCTCTCTCTGGGAGTTCCCACTCTGACTCAATGCGACTCGCCCTTGATCTCTCTCTCTCTCTACCTGACAGGTTCGGCTGCATTTCACAGCAGAGCCGACGTCTGATTGGTCGGCGCTCACCTGCTCTGTGCAGACAGGTGAGGCTGCGGGTTCAGCTCTGACTTCATTAACATCGACCAATCAGCTGCTGAAGCTATTTAAAGCAGCAGGAAGTGCTGGGTGTCCTCAGGGTCCTACTGCACGCCTTGTACAGTTTAGTATGAAGAGTCAAACTTTGACTTAAATAACACAAAGTAATATTTCATAGTAAAACGTCACTTCGTTTGCCTTTTTCATAGTAATTTGTACATTTGAATAACAGAGAAAGTTCTGTAATATCTCAGTATGAGAATGGACAGAAAATAAAGCTCCTCCTGATAACAAAGTCCAGGTATAGAAGATATTATGATAATATAATAAGAATATCAGACATTATTATTCAATTCATGAGTTTAACACTGATTATATTATTATTAATTGCTGATAATTTGATTCTTACAGACTCACCAGCAGGTGGCAGTGTTGGACATGAACGGTTGTAATGCACCTTTGGAGAGAAACAGCTGATATATGTAAGTGCTTTGGGGTCAAAGGTCAGCAGGAGCCTGCAGTAAAAAAAAAAACTTTAAAAATAAAAAGTCATTTAACAGAAAACAAACTCATTTGTTCCTCTTTGGTCATCACTTCCTGACTGTTTCACAATAAAATACCTCCGGTGCTTCAGTGTCTCTTCCCTAAAACCCTTATTGTGAAACAGCAAGCTTCACGCAGGTGCCACAGGGGAACATTAGCTTGTTTGCTAACTCTGGAGCTCCACTCACCTGGCTGCAGTGATGTCACAGTGTACTCCAGTACACAAGGTTGTCACGGAGATGTGACAGGCTGAGTAGATTCACTGAGCACACAACACAACGGCTTCTTCCAATATTCAAACTTTATTTAAAGAACTCTGTCAATAGTTGATCAATAGTTGATCAATTAGTCGATCAAAAGAAAGAATGAGCAAATGATTGACTGTGTCTGTATTACAACTAATCAATCAATAATTAACAGATAATCAATAATGATAATACTGTGTGGGACAGACGACACTGACATCACAGCAGTCCTCGGTGACATCACAGCAGTCCTCGGTGACATCACAGCAGTCCTCGGTGACATCACAGCAGTCCACCAACAGGTTCTGTGTATTTTACATTTTATTTTGAAGGGCTGACCTCCAGCTCCAACTGAAGACGCCGTCCTGTCTGCTTCTGCGTTACCTTCATCTTCATCATCACCGCTGTCGTCATCGACAGACACAGACGGACCTCAGAGCTGTCCTGATGACTGACAGGTCAGAGGTCAGAGGTCAGAGTCAGCCATCTTGCTGAACTTCTCCTCCAGGTCGTGAGCGCTGATGCGCGGCAGGCCGCCGTCCAGAGGACAGCCCTCCACCAGGCTGTTCATCGGGGTCGGAGGAACCCGGCACTCCTCCTCCTCCACCGCCGCCGCCACCAAGTCTCCTAGACGACCGTCTCCCAGACGACCGTCTCCATCCCGCTCCTTAAGGAAGTCCTTGACGATAGGGAGGAGCTTCTTCCGAGAGGCCAGAGAGTTTCCTGTGAACGATGTGTGAGAATGTGATTGGATCAATAATCAGATGATCAATAAAGACAACAGCTGTTAGCTCGCTTACTGCAAACGGCGGCGGCGGGCTATAAGCTACGTGTCTGAGCACATTCGGGTGCAGCGGGGGCGGGCTTACCTTGCTGATAGGCTGTGATGTGCGGATAAAGGGTGCTGATTGGACGGAGTTTGAGGGCGGGGTTACGAGCCTGCTCCAGGTAGAGGCTCACCTGAGGAGGGAGGAAGTGAAGAAGTACTACAGTAGCAGTGTTTCTCAGTGTACCTGCAGTATCTGGTGGCAGTGTGTACCTCCTCCCTGCAGGTGGTGCTGTGGCTGAACACAGCGAGCTCTCTGATTGGCTCACTGCTCTCAGTGAAGGAGATGGTCATCAGCAGCAGCAGGTCAAATCCAAACTTTAGACAGAAAGCTGAGAGCTCCGCCTCTAACTCCACCCCCTGCAGGAAGTCCTGACAAACAAACACACACTGCAGTCAGCCTACACTACCCAGAATGCCCTCTGCTCTGACCTTAAAGCTACACCCTGTCAGACAAATTTCTGGGCAGCACTCTGCCTCCATTGTTTATAGCAGTATGTACATTATAGTGCATTATAGTACAGTATAGTACAGTATGTACATTATAGTACAGTATGTAATACAGTATACATTAAGTACAGTATGTACATTCTAGTACATTCAGTACAGTATGAATAGACAGAAGTAGAGAGAAGAAAGCAAAGACAGTATAGTACAGTATGTACATTATAGTACATTATATTATAATATTTTTTTTAAAAAATATATATTATAAAAAAAAATATATACTATGTAAATTATAGTACAGTAGACAGTATAGTACATTATAGTACAGTATGTACACTATGTAAATTATAGTACAGTAGTACATTATAGTACAGTATAGTACAGTATGTACACATGAAATTATAGTACAGTATGTACAGTAAACAGTATAGTACATTATAGTACAGTATGTAAATTATAGTACAGTATGTACAGTATAGTACATTATAGTACAGTATGTACATTATAGTACAGTATAGTACAGTATAGTACAGTATGTACATTATAGTACAGTATGTACAGTATAGTACAGTACAGTATGTACATTATAGTACAGTATGTACATTATAGTACATTCTAGTACAGTATGTACATTCTAGTACAGTATAGTTCAGTATGTACAGTATAGTACAATAGTACATTATAGTACATTGTAGAACAGTATAGTACAGTATGTACATTATAGTACAGTATGTACATTATAGTACATTCTAGTACAGTATAGTACAGTATGTACATTCTAGTACAGTATAGTACAGTATAAACAGTATGTACATTATAGTACAGTATGACAGTATAGTACAGTACAGTAGTACATTATAGTACAGTATGTACATTATAGTACATTCTAGTACAGTATGTACATTATAGTACAGTATGTACACTATGTAAATTATAGTACAGTATGTACATTATAGTACAGTATGTACACTATGTAAATTATATACATTATAGTACAGTATGTACACTGTAAATTATAGTACATTATATTATAGTACAGTATGTAAAGTATAGATAAGTACAGTATGTACATTATAGTACAGTATAGTACAGTATGTAAATTATAGTACAGTATAGTACATTATAGTACAGTATGTAAATTATAGTACAGTATGTACAGTATAGTACATTATAGTACAGTATAGTACAGTATAGTACATTATAGTACAGTATAGTACATTATAGTACAGTATGTAAATTATAGTACAGTATGTACAGTATAGTACATTATAGTACAGTATGTAAATTATAGTACAGTATGTACAGTATAGTACAGTATAGTACATTATAGTACAGTATGTAAATTATAGTACAGTATAGTACATTATAGTACAGTATGTACATTATAGTACAGTATGTACAGTATAGTACATTATAGTACAGTATGTACATTATAGTACAGTACAGTATGTACATTATAGTACAGTATGTACATTATAGTACATTCTAGTACAGTATGTACAGTATAGTACAATAGTACATTATAGTACATTGTAGAACAGTATAGTACAGTATGTACATTCTAGTACAGTATAGTACAGTATAGAACAGTATGTACATTATAGTACAGTATGTACAGTATAGTACAGTACAGTATGTACATTATAGTACAGTATGTACATTATAGTACATTCTAGTACAGTATGTAAATTATAGTACAGTATAGTACAGTATGTAAATTATAGTACAGTATGTACATTATAGTACAGTATGTACAGTATGTACATTATAGTACAGCATAGTACATTATAGTACAGTATGTACACTATGTAAATTATAGTACAGTATGTACATTATAGTACAGTATGTACAGTATAGTACAGTATAGTACAGTATGTACATTATAGTACAGTATAGTACAGTATGTAAATTATAGTACAGTATAGTACATTATAGTACAGTATAGTACAGTATGTAAATTATAGTACAGTATAGTACATTATAGTACAGTATGTAAATTATAGTACAGTATAGTACATTATAGTACAGTATGTAAATTATAGTACAGTATAGTACCTGCAGGTTGATGTAGAGGACAGAGATGGCAAGATTCAAACTTCCTGAAACAGATTTCATGTCCTTCAACAACATCTGTTCAGTGTTCAGACCTGAGAACAGAATACTTCAGTGAGTACTGTGGATGACCCTCCAGTACTTCCTATACTGCACTCATATTTAATATTCATACCTGTGACGTCAAACTTGGCGTTGTTGAGATTGTGGAACAGGGCGCCTCTCGGTGGCAGAGCAGGGAAACGACTCTCCAACGCCAACGCAAGCTCTGAGTCTTTAACCGTCACTTTACCTGCTGATGGAGCCATGTTGACACAGTCCAACACCACGGCAGCTACACACAGTACACACACAGTACACACAGTCAGTGTAAACAAGAGAAACAGACGATCATAAATCAAAGTTATTAACAAGAAACTAATAAACACCTTTTACCTGCATACAGGTGTGTTCAGGTTTGTTCAGAGGGGTATTGCACAAAACCAGGATAAGGGATTAAGCCGGGATATGTTGGTTATCCTGGCTGAATTTAGCCTCAAGTCGGTTGCATGAAAGCAGGTTAAACTTATCCCGGCCAAGTTACTATGGTGATTTATTCTCTGCTGTTAGCCTGCTCCAGACCAGGCTAACAGCCAGGCTAACATTAATCCTAGTGATTCACCTGTATTTCCACCGTCAATCCTGTGAGGAATTAATGTGTTTTACAGCATGTCCATGGTCTTTCTAAGTATGTTGCATCATTTTAATTATCCTGCATTAAAATATTACATATTGTCATTTCTCATTTCATTTAAATCTGTTGGCTGTTTGTAATTGCAACAGTCTTTTTATATTGATTCAAGTGGTAGTATTATTACTCAGGACAAGTGTTATATTGCTATGCTAATGAAGACTGCTTGTCAAACTGCATAAATATGTTTTATTGCAGTAATTGAGATTACAAAACACAGCTGATGAAGTTGCAAAGGTGTTTTCAATGAAATCTGTGACAAGGACAATGTAGTATATATATATATATATTATTCACACCTGTTCCCTCTTCATAATGGCTTGCCCTTTCTTGGAGGATGTGCTGGATGAGGAAGCCCTAATCCTCAGACGAGCATTTAGTCCTGAAAGAGTCTTCTGGGACAGGTCAGACCCATTGGCCGTTGGAGAGGACTATCTCATTGAGAGATACAGATTCTCAGGTGATGGACTAATATTTATGTAGGCTGCTGGGTCCAAAAATACAGCACCAGACGGCAGGAAGCCATGCTCTCACTGTACCACAGATGGTCTGTGTTACAGTGAGATGTTCTGCAAGTGGGAGCTTCCTTTATTCTGTTGGGGATGCAGAGAACCTCAATAAAGGAACCATTGGCAGCACATATCCTGGCTTGGTGGGCCGCCCCCTGTGCCAGTTCTATGGGCTTTTTTTAAACTGCTACAATCATACAGACATTCAACATGTCAGCAGACACCTAATCTATTCACCTCATTTGTTCACTGTTATCTACTTTAGAGTCACTGACCAGCCTGCAAAATGTTCTTGTATTTAACTTTAACTTGCTGCCAGGTCCTTTTATGGGCAAACAAGTTTGTTCTTTATGAAGGATAGAAAGATAAAATAGATAAAAACAGATTAAATGACACATTGTGGATAATTGTTTGCACTTAATCATACTCTACATTTAAGTAACATGAACCTCTACTTGCCACATTTAAAGCAAAGTGTACAACAGTTGATTAGTGGACTTACAGTAACTCCTTTAGTCCTTTAATTGGAGCCTAATGATGACAGTTCCAGTGGAGCACTGTTTATTCATTGTACAGTTTTGGACTACTTAAGCATTAAGCCGGTCCGCTATTGTCTGCCAGGCGTTCTCTCTTTCTTTAATTATGGCATTGGTATTGCCTTTGTTTCTTCTATCTTTCACCTCTTCATAGAACTCCATCAGGAGCTGTTGTTCAGCGGCCGTGAGATATGAAGCACGACTCTTATCCATGTTCCCATCGGTGATTCTGTGAGCGATCGCGAGGTCTATTTCAGTATGCCGTGAACACGCACTTATCCCGACTATCTACACCTGGCTTAACATAGCCGCGCCTTTTAATCCTGGCTCCGCAAACATGCAACCAATTAAACCAGGATGTGCCGTGCAGGCTAGGTCAAGCCGCGCTTGCTCAATTATCCTGGATTTCTTTATCCTACTTTTGTGCAATACCCCTTAGGTGTGTTCAGGTGTGTTCAGGTGTGCTCAGGTGTTTACCGTAGAGCAGTTGAGCAACCTGCTGGTCGAGGATTTCCGGAGTTTTCTGGATGATGCGTTCTGTTACCAAGGTAGCACAGGAACCCACCGTCTCCACGGTAACAGGACAGAACGGGGAGGGCTCTCTCTCCAGCAGGTGATGGTCAATCACCTCCACCACAGCCCCCTCCAGGTCGCTGTCTGAACTACAGGACAGGTACAGGCTGATGAGACAGGTGGGCTCAGAGGAACCAGACTGGGGTTACCTGTTAGGTGGGTGTGGTTACCTGTCAGGTGGGTGTGGTTACCTGTCAGGTGGGTGTGGTTACCTGGGCAGGACGTTGTGGTCGACCAGCGTCAGCCGCAGGCGTCCAGCTTTCTGCAGCGCTCTCAGGTCCAGCTGGTCCCTGAAGAGGAGCAGGTCTGGAGACAGACCGACCTGTCTCAGCAGGTAGACGTTGTCTGAGCGCAGCACCAGGTCCGCCTGCCGGATGTTCAACAGCGGGAGAGCGAGCATCTGACTCTGTGCAGTCTGAGAGAGAGAGAGGGAGTCAGTCAGAGGTCAGCTCTGTGGGCGGGCGCCACCGCCACCGACCCCCCTTCGGTCTCACCTTGGACAGGAAGTAGGCGTAGGTCAGAGCACAGACCATGGAGTCCACGTCACAGGCTTCATTCCCCAGAACAACATGGAACCCAGAACCAGCCGGATCCTGATCCACCTGGAGGACAGGTTCTCATTAGCACTACAGATCAATAATCAGTTGTACTGTTGATGGACAGCAGAGAATCAGCTTTAGCCCTGAACAGCTCGGGGATTATTACATCTGTTTCCTCTGGGACCTCATTGTTAATATTATTAATATTATTAGAAAATCATTATTAGTTTTACTCATTGTCTCTGTGTAAAGGTTTCATGTCTCCTTTATGGTGTCTATATATATGTAGGATATAGTGTACTGAATAAAAATATAATTTAGTTTAATAAGAGGCTTTTCTTATATTCCATGTTATGTTGCTGTATTAAGAGAAGATGTTTCTTTATTGATCCTCTGTAGGAGAAAGGAGCAGCACAGGGGGAAGCAAAGCAAACAGTTAAATTAAATATAATTGTATTTGACCTTTTTTAGCCTTTAAAATACATTTTCCTTCTGGTTCGATTACAAATAAGTTCAAAAATCATTTTATTTTCTTGTTCCCTGACCGGAAGTTTACTTTGAAACCTGTAACGACCGGAAGTCATACAGTGATGCGTTCACGTGGTCAGTCTGCTGTTAAACCGTCTGAGCTAACAGGCTAACTGAGGCTAACAGGCTAACTGTAACTGACAAACACCTGCAGACAGACAGGCAGACAGACAGACAGACAGACAGGCAGACAGACAGGCAGACAGACAGGCAGACAGACAGGCAGACAGACAGGCAGGCAGACAGACAGGCAGACAGACAGACAGACAGACAGACAGGCAGGCAGACATGCAGACAGACAGACAGGCAGACAGACAGACATGCAGACAGACAGACAGGCAGACAGGCAGGCAGACAGACAGACAGACAGACATGCAGACAGACAGACAGACATGCAGACAGACAGACAGACATGCAGACAGACAGACAGACAGACATGCAGACAGACAGACAGACATGCAGACAGACAGACAGACAGACAGGCAGACAGACAGACAGACAGACAGACAGTACCTGCGCGGCTCGGCGGCAACTCGACAGAAACTCCTCCATCTTCTGTTAGCTGTTAGCTGTTAGCTGTTAGCTCGAACCGCAAGCTAACCCGCTAACAGCTCCTCTAACCGGTGAACGGAGCCGGTAAACGGAGCCGGTAAACGGTGGCAGCCGGCTCACCGAGCAGTCAGTCAGTCGATACCGTTCACGTGAACGCACGCGTGTCCGGTGACCGTGGGTAACCGGTCAGGATGCATTCAGGGTGCGCTGTAAAACGTCGGTCATACGCGTTGTCAGAGCTCCGGTGGAGAAAGTTATCAGAGAGTGTTCACTGACCGTCGGACAACTAACCATAGAAATATTATTTATTATGATACTCAGATGTTATCCCATAATGCCCATGATTTGGGAATATTACATCAGTTAGTTCATGTTACATAACAACACGCCACTTTAGTTTCTATAGGAAGAAAAAAATATTGGATTTCAAAACAAAAATACAAAGAAATAGATATGTTGTGAAATAGAGGAACAGTGTGACTGGATGTGATCTGAAAGGGTTAAAAATACAGTGTGCAGTGTTTTTGTTACCTATTGAGGACCTTTTCTGGTATACACACTGATCTTATTTGGACCAGTCTTAATGTGGTCCTGATGTGGTCTTAATGTGGTCCTAATGTGATCCTGATGTGGTCCTGATCTGATCTTAATGTGGTCCTGATGTGATCCTAATGTGATCCTGATGTGATCTTAATGTGGTCCTAATGTGATCCTGATGTGGTCCTCATGTGATCCTAATGTGATCCTGATGTGGTCCTCATGTGATCCTAATGTGATCCTGATGTGGTCCTCATGTGATCCTAATGTGATCCTGATGTGGTCCTGATGTGATCCTAATGTGATCCTGATGTGGTCCTGATGTGATCCTGATGTGGTCCTAATGTGGTCCTGATGTGATCTTAATGTGGTCCTAATGTGATCCTGATGTGGTCCTAATGTGATCCTAATGTGATCCTAATGTGGTCCTAATGTGATCCTGATGTGGTCCTCATGTGATCCTGATGTGATCTTAATGTGGTCCTAATGTGGTCCTAATGTGGTCCTAATGTGATCCTGATGTGGTCCTAATGTGATCCTGATGTGATCTTAATGTGGTCCTAATGTGGTCCTAATGTGGTCCTAATGTGATCCTGATGTGGTCCTAATGTGATCCTGATGTGGTCCTAATGTGATCCTGATGTGGTCCTAATGTGATCCTGATGTGATCTTAATGTGGTCCTAATGTGGTCCTGATGTGATCCTGATGTGATCTTAATGTGGTTCTTATGTGGTCCTAATAGGAGGGGCAGGTGTGTGTCAGTGCAGCTCCAGACATTCTTCACTCAGACGAACACAATGAATCGGAGATAAGACACCCAAAGACATCCACTTTAAAATTTGACAAATGACTGATTGATGAAGTGATAGGTACTTTGGTCTCTGACTATGAGAGAGGCTGATGAACAAAGACGGGTTGGTACAGAAATGTGAGTTTATTGTCTGTTCCAGGGTCAGCTGGAGTTAAGGTATCAGTCACATTAATTTCATACAGTTTGCTTCATCATAAAAACTCTTTAATCACATATTTGATGTTTCCATCAGAGAGCGGCAGCCGAATAAAACTTACTTATTTTAAGACATTTGTTCAGGTTGTGGCTGTAATCAACACCAGGACCTGTAGGGGGCGCTGACGGGATGGAACACTGATGTTCTCATCATGTTTCCAGGGTAACACTGAGGTAACACTCATCAGAAACTGCAACCATGCGGGGACATTGAACCTGACTTTACACAGCGTTACGGGGACCACAGGCAACACCAGACTCTGACCTTTGACCTCCGGTGGACTGAAACATACGTGTGTGTGTGTGTGTGTGTTTATGGATAAACTTGTCATATTCAGTAAACAGCTTCCTGTTTCCTGTCAGCTGACGAGTTGAAAGCACTGGTGACCCCTGACCCCAGCTGCAGCAGCAGGTCGGTGACCCCTGACCCCCCTGCCGGATAGGAGGTCTAAATCTTCTCCACATAGTTTCCAGGGAACATCCCCTCTCTGCCCCGCAACCGACCGAACCACCAACCAGACGGATCTGCACACAGACAGAAAGTACAGAGAGAGAGACACACAGAGAGAGAGACACAGAGAGAGAGACATACACAGAGAGAGAGACACACACAGAGAGAGAGAGACAGGAAGGAGAGAGAGAGACACAGAGAGAGAGAGACACAGAGAGATTTTTTTTTGATTTTTGAACAATACTTTATTTACATTTAACTAACTGTAACAAACAGTTCCACAATCAATAGATCAGTTGAGGAAGGATGTGAACTTTAACTCTCCACCGGTCACCCGGCACAACAGCTCCTCATGAGCCCACTGCTGCTCAAACACATCTGTATTCCCTGTGACCCTGTGGAAGCAAAACTCCAGCCTCAGTCTGGCCTTCACATTGTACCTCCACAGGGTCACAGGGTCAAGGGTCGGCCCACCCTGCAGTCTGTCCCTACGAGTCAGGTAGATCGACATTTTAGCCTCACCAATTAAAAAGTTTAGGAGTCGACACTTTACTTTTTCTGTTTTTTTAAAACCGACTCCACAAATAAAAACAGGGGCAGTAAAAATGACACCAAATAGATTAAAAACACGAGTTAAAACGTTAAAAATATCTGCCAATCTCCTGCACTCAGTAAAAACATGGAAAATGTTCTCAGTCAGTCCACAGAATGGGCACTCCTTTACAACACTGTGATTAAGAACAGATAAAAAGGCATTGGTGGCAATGGCACCATGTAAAATCCTCCACTGGAGATCTCCAGTTCTTTTTTTTAGAGGAGGTTTGTATAATGTTCTCCACTGGGGGCTCAGCCCACCCAGCCTCTCAGTCCACACACACTGCGCTCTGTCACACAGGCGAGTTTTGTGGATAGTTTTTACACAGTTTGTGTACAGAGTTTTTTTGTCAGCCTTGTGTAGGCTCAATGTCCTCCCATCATTGTGTCTCAGGAGGGGGCCGCTGAGCTCTGTGAAACCAGGGCACAAGTAGATCTCGGGATAAGGGTCTGTGGGGTCCGGCTCAGCCTCTCCCCTGCCGTATTTGAGGAGAAGGATTCTCTCCTTCTCCGTCAGCCTCCTCCTCCAGAGCTCTAGGCTCCTCTGCGTCAGCCGGACAGAACGCACCCCCAGCACAGAGCCCAGAGAGTGGACATCTGTGAGCTCTGGTCCTGCTGCATCTATCAGTTGTTTGAGGCAGACAACTCTTGAGCTGCACAGCACCCCCATCAGCCCAGGCACGGTGCTGCAGCACACGTCCATCTTTGCACCACAGATTATAGGCTCCTTTAATAACCAGTGCAGAGAGTTACACTTCTCACTTCTTTTACATTTAAAAAGCCCCCAGGATTTAAAAACACCCTGATAAAAAGGAGGCAACCCACCTAACTTTAAGAATTTAAAATCAGTTAAAAACAGAGCAGCATCCAGCCCCAGGTTATTGACACGCCTGAGTATGCAGCTGGCCACGTCTCTCCACACCAGATCTTCAGGTCCAGTCAGATACTTTTGAATGAACTGGAGCCTGAAGGTGGCTGTCCTGCTAGCCAGGTGGACCAGGCCCTGGCCCCCTCATCTCTGGATAAAAACAATACAGACTGTGGTATCCAGTGCAATTTGTTCCAGAAGAAATTGACAATCTTCACCTGGATCTGGGCAATGAGACCTGTTGGAGGGTCCAGACAAGCTAACCGGTGCCATAACATGGAGGCCACCAGATTGTTTAAAATTAGGACCCTCCCTCTAAAAGATATTTGTGGGTGAAGCCACCTCCACTTAGCCAGTTTGTTATCCACTGTTTCTAAAATGTTTTCCCAGTTTTTCTTTCCAATGTCGCCGTTCCCGAGATAAATACCGAGATACTTTAAGCCTTCTCTTCTCCATATCAGGCTTTGAGGGAGAACAGGGAGGCCCTCCCGCCATTCACCAACAGCAAGAGCCTCGCTCTTCCTCCAGTTCACCCTTGCAGCCGACACAACAGAAAACTTCTCGATTACAGAATTTAAAACACACACATCTTGTTGATCTTTGATAAAAACAACGACATCGTCAGCATAAGCAGATAAAACAACACTACTGTTAAAACCAGGTAAAAACAGGCCTCTAACAGATGATCTTATCTTTTGTAGGAGGGGTTCCAGGGAGAGTGCATAGAGCATCCCAGACAGGGCACAGCCCTGTCGGACGCCTCTATGCACTCTAAAAGGAGCACACAAGCCACCATTAAACTTTAGCACACTCTCAATGTCACTGTACAACACCTTGATCTTGGCTATGAGACCAGCGCTGAACCCAAACCTCTCCATGACCTTCCAAAGGAAGTCGTGTTCAACGCGGTCAAAAGCCTTTTCTTGATCTAATGAGATCAATCCAGTGTTTATGCCTAATGAACTGGAAACCTCCAAAACATCCCGAATGAGGTAGATATTATCTACCATAGACCTGCCGGGCACACAGTACGTCTGGTCCCGGTGGAGAATCTGCTCCATGGTTCCTTTCAGCCTATTGGCCAGGACTTTGGACAGTATTTTGTAGTCAGTGCAGAGGAGAGAGACAGGACGCCAGTTTCTGATTTCTTGCAAATTGCCTTTCTTGGGCAAGAGGGTAATTACGGCTCTCCGACATGAGAGTGGCATTGACCCAGACACCAGGCTCTCATTAAAAACATCTATGAGGTCATGGGCCAAGATGTCCCAGAAGGCTTTGTAGAACTCTACAGTGAGGCCGTCGATGCCTGGAGCCTTTCGTCCCTGCATGCTCTGCAGTGCCGCGTAGAGCTCTTGTGGAGTCAGTGGGCTGTCGAGCTGCTGGTTAGCCTCTCTAGATATCTGAGGAAGTCCACCACAGACCTCCTCCATCAGTTCTTCGTTCTCCTTGAACTCACTCTCAAACAACGAGGCGTAAAACTCCACAGCTCTTTTCCTTATCAGGCCTGGCTCTGTCAGCTCTTTCCCTGTCTCAGAGAGCAGAGAGTGAATTTGTCTCCTCTGCCCTTGTTTCTTCTCAAGCCCAAAGAAGAAACTCGATGGAGCATCCATCTCCGTGATGTTTTGAACCCGGGACCGGACCAGCGCACCCTGTACTTTAGTGTCCAGCAGGTTGGCTAAAGCCATCTTTTTAGTCTTGAGGATTTCAATATATCCTCGATTTCCTGTGGACTCACTTGTACACTCGAGATCCACAATATCAGTCTCCAGATCTCTGATAGATCTGGTGATGTCGCGTGTGACATTGAGCGTGTGCTGCTGACATAAAAGTTTAATTTGAACCTTTCCATGGTCCCACCACTGCCTCAGACTGACAAACTCGTTTTTTTCTGTTTAAAATCATTCCAAAAATAGCTTAAAGCCTCCTTGAAAGATTTATCAACAGTTAAAACAGAGTTAAAATGCCAATAGGCGCTTTTGGGTAAAATGTTTCTGATAAAAACATTACATAAAACCAAAGAATGATCAGTAAAACCAACTGGTAAAATCTTACACATTTTAACAACACTGACTCTGTGCTTAAAAACATAAAAACGATCAAGTCTGGCCAAAGAGATTCTGTTTTCTCTAACGTGGGACCATGTATACTGTCTGCAGCCTGTGTGCATCCTTCTCCACACGTCCACCAGGCCATGGGAGGAGACCAGCTGCCTCAATGCATGCTGGGATACTGGATGAGGCTCTGCATGGTTGCGATCTAAAATCTCATTTTCAGTACAATTAAAATCCCCACCCACGAATAAATAATCCTCCGGGCCACAGCTGTTTAAAATATCATTCATATTTTCAAAGAAGTGTTTCCTCTCTGCACCGTTGTTTGGAGCATAAATGTTGATAAAAACCACATTAAAATGTTCAAAACGAGCTCTGACTAAAAGACACCTCCCCTCCACAACATGCCTGACCTCCAGAGAGGTTGGAGTAAAACCTCTGGAGAACAGG